CAAGGCTCGGACCGGCCGGTGCGGGTCAGAACCTTGGACCCTTTGGTGGCCCTCAGGGGCAACCCGAGGAGGGGATATGTTCAGGGGAGGAGGAGGAGGAGGAGGAGGAGGAGGAGGAGGAGGAGGAGGAGGAGGAGAAGAGGTCTGAGGTTTTCGCGCGTTTTCGGATCTTCTCGGAGGTTCTCAAGCCTCGGGACGCGTTCCATCAGCTGCGTCTCGCCGACAGCGTTCCGGGGATGCCTGGACCGTCCCGAACGGCCACCCAAAAGCCAAGTCATGACCCAAAAGCCAGGGAGCATCGCTAGGGATAGAGGCGCAGGGGGCGGCGCATCGACTCCCAATCTCTCAAACATGTCCAATGCTAGGGGCCCGATGCCCACCCCGTTCTTCAACTTGCAGATTTGCTATCTGGTGCCTGTCGCCCGCATTCCACGAGGTCCCATCGGACGCCCCCGAGCTCTTCTGCCGTGGGGCAACGATCGTCTGGAACGTGCAGTCTCGCTATCGGATGCCTACCGCCGATCTATCAGCGATGTATGGCTGATTCCAGCTCGATGTTCCCCCCCTGAGTCGGCCCCCCCTAATGTTCCCCCTTGGCTTCAGGCTCGAGGATGCCGAGCCAGCAAGCTCAGAGCGGGTGCACGCCGAGCCTTTTTGTCCATGCCACGCAGGGCCAACGGCCCCAGCAGCCAGGTGGAGAGCTGAAGTCACCGCCAGTCATAGCAGTTCTCGCCTCCAGAGGCCGTTTCTGGGCCCTGGGCCGGTCTGGGATGCAAAACTGTTCCCAGCGACGGGGTCGAGAACTCCAGGGGCTGGCGACTCAATAAATCGCATCGTCGGGAAGTCTGACGGGATGGGGGGGAGTAATGGCGTGAGAGCATGGGGAGGGGGAGGATGATGAAGACGTGGTGTTTGTGGTGAGAGGGAAGACGTGAGGGCATGGGGAGAGGGAGGGGATCGAAGGAGAGTGAGAGTGGAGAGGGAGAGGGTCGAGGGAGTGAGAGCATGTAGAGAGGAGGGGTGCGGGAGGGCGGGGGGGGGAAATGGAGGGGGGAGGTGGGATGCAGGTGGCAGGTGATGGGTGCGATGTCCAGGCACCTGCGGCGAATTCGCCACAGTGACAGCGAAACACTCTTTGTGGCGATCGTTTGAGCACCGCCCAGAAGATCGTCACATGTGACACCTCTCGTGTCCACTTCCTGTGGTGCAACCTTTGTGAGGCTACATTCTACCATGCCTCAACGCGGCAGGGTGCATGTCGGCCGATGCAAACAAATCAGGTGGAAACAGTCGGAAGGGCAGCCCCAGCTCAATCAATAGCGGCCCGATGCAAACATGCTGATGCCATTCTGGGCCGAGCAGTTTCTCCGTCGCAGCGCGGCAGATGCGATCCACTCGCGCGTGGAGCGAAACCGGGCTGCGGAGCTGCGAACTGTCCGGCATGTCAGTCAGAGGCGAACAGGGCGGCCGCGGAAGGCGGGAGGAGGCGAGGGGCACTCTCACCGCCCAGACGGGGTATCGAAGACGGTTGCCTCGAGCAGGAACCACGTGTGTCTTTTTGTGTGCGGGTCACCCTCTGATGGGGATATCTAACTCGTGGTCGCCTGGGCGCCCCACCTGCGGAGGGCCACAAGAGCCATACATAATCAATACATCATCGCCAGAAATTCAACAACTTGTCACAGTTAGTTCGGCGGGTGATTTTCCAGATTCCTTTCGCTTCGCGGGGTGCACGTCTGGAGCACGTGCAATCCAGTCGTTGCGGGGCCTGGTGGGAGCCTCCTGGAGGCCCTTTGGGGGCCTCTTGGGGGTTATTGGGGGCTGCTTTGGGGCATCTTGCGGCCTCTTGGGGCCGTCTTGGGTCGTCTTGAGGCGCTCTTGCGCAATTTGGCCCCTCGGGCGGCCGTCCTGTGGGCTTCTCGCGGCCGCTTCGGGGCTCTCTGGGGGTCCCCTTGGGCCGTCTCGGGGGCCTCGAAAACCGTTTTGGGGGCGTTTTTGGGCCGTCTTGGGGCCCTCTGTGGGGCTTGTCGGGTCGTGTTGGGGTCATTTTCGAGGCTGCTTAGGCCGTCACGGGCCCCTGCAAGTCGAAAAAGACGGGAACGCTAAAACACAATAAGAACTAAGGAAACACAGTGATTTTGGCTTTTGGAGGCGCTATTGGAGGACCTCTTGGGGCCCTCTTGGGGTTTCTGGATGTTTTGGGGGGCCCTTTTGGGGCCACCGTGGACCGCTTTGGGGTCATCTGGGCCCGCCTTGAGCCATCTTGAAACGTCTTGGCACACTCTTAGACACCCAAGACCCCCAAGGGGCCAACATCGCTGATGACCCACAGGTTTTGATACGTTTTTGGGCTCCAGATGTGGGAGGGGCACCCTGGTCGGCGGATGTGGCGTGGCCCCGGGGGAAATAGGGGCGGAGACATGGTAATGACACTTAATACAATGTGTGCAACTTGTTGACGCTTCGCGTATCCCCACCAGCCCATCCAGAAGCGATCAGCAGGGGAGTTGCCAAGTCATGGACGACTGGAAGCATGCAGTTGCGCGGCCGTCTTCAGACAAAAACATGGGTCACACATAGCTTCCCGCATTGAAGCTTAAGATGGAAATCAGTGCAATATCCGACGTGGTGCTCCCCGTGGTAAACGTCTCTAGCGCAGGTGGTTGTATCCACCCTGGGCCATCAGAAGCAAGGATCTCACACAGCTTCGCGCAGCGACGTTTAATATGGAAACCAGAGCGAGATACGCTGGGGTGTTCCCTGTGGTAAGCGTCTTTGGCGCAGCGGAGCCCGTCGTATAATCTCAACTGCCGTTGCGTTTGGGAGGGGCTGGCTTACGGAATTCGGATAGGACGTCTTCCGCCGTTTACTGGGCGAGTTGGGCCGACTCGTTGCCGGGATTGGTTGCGCGGTTTCCTACACTTGGGGATCACATATTATTTCAATTAACCTCATTGGAAGCGGATCCTAATACGTTTGGCAGGACCATATTGTTTGGTAGCAGCAGAACAAGCTGGCAGGATTTGCTCAGACAGTGGGTGGACATGGCGACCGTCTCGGACACGTGTGGCTGCAGGGTTACGACCACCAGAACCAGCGGATGCCGACGTCAATTTAGGCGAATGGAAGCACGGATGGAAATACCATGCGTCAGTTCCTTTCGAAAATTCAGCACGACAGGAGTTAATTCGGCGCCTCGCATTACCAAGTACCAAACTCAACGCTGCAAGCCCGGGGAAGGCGCGCATGCAGTCAGCTGCGGGGCCCTCTGCTGCAATCTGGTTATTGGGATGTCCTTCCTCGGATTGTCTTACGCTGTCAAATGCCCAACCTATGGGGGCTATGCGCCGGCGCTTGGGGATTGCAGCATCTACCGATGGAACTGACCCCCATGGGCACGCAAGACGAACAGAACCGGCACGTTGGCATGCGAAACATAAACTTGTGGCTGCGGCGTGGAGAAAAGTGTTGGCGGAAGCAGGTGGTACTATTCCAGACAGGAATGTGGAAAGGTCACTTGCAAACACATATGTGCCGGTCCCGCCTGGCGATTTCCGACGTTTGGATTTGGTTGTCCGTGGGTTGAACGTGCATCGCGGACTACCACTATTCTGTGCCATTACAATTATTACACCAATTTCACGGAGCGGCCTACCACGATCAGGGACAATCGATCGGGGAGGCGGACGTTTGGAAAGTGCGGAGCGCGAAAATAATACAACATACTATCCGGTGATAGCGAGCGGATTAGGTTCTCTGCAGTGCCTAGGAGTCGAAGTTCTCGGGCGGTGGAGCCGCCAATGGATTGAACTGGTGCCCGCCTTAGCCCGAGAGCGAACACGAGGCTTGCGCCCGCGGGTCAGGCGCGGAGCCGCGTTAGGGCTTCAGCATCGTTGGTGGGGTATTTTAGGCATGCCTGTTCAAAAGGCTGTTGCAAATGCAGCCTCGGCGCCATGATGAGCGCGATCCAGGACAGGGGCCAATGACCAGATTCGGTAAGGTGCCGAACAAGACCAAGAAGGCATGCGGCGGTTTCCCGGGCGCTCAGTCAAAGAGCGGCATGGGTTTTAAGGGCGCTGAAGACGCCGCAGCGGCCTCGGCGGGTCGGGCAGGTGGGCGGCGGCGCTCGCGGAGAGCCTGGCGATTCTCATGCGCTGTTACAGGCTCCATCTGACTGCTGTTCTCTGTCGGGCGCTTCTGTCTTCGTTGCCGCCCTCAGCCCCCCCCCCGCCCTCCGCCGCTGCCGTCGTTTGTCCCCCGTGCGAGCGCTCATTCCTTCCGCCATGCGCGCGCGCCGCAGTAGTGCGTCGGCCCAAGCGACCGCGACCCGCCGCCGCCGTCTCTGAGCGAACAGGCGACGGCAGGCGATGGCGACGCGCGGGCGGCCCATGGACAGCCCCGAGAGCCGCGGGGCAAAGGGCGCGGCCACCAGTCGAAACTGGCACCGAGGCCGCCGATTGAGGAAGGCGATTGGTTCGGGTTGAAGGCGGGAAAACGAACGTGAAGCGCTTCTGCTACTCGACCAAGCCGAGCGAGATGGCAACGGGGCGCGTGGACCAAGGCGTTGGCCTCGCGAAATATTTGGGGAAAATTATCCCAGTGCGACCCGACCTAGGAGTTGGGGCCTCTAGGAAAGCAATATTTAGGACATGCGATAATACGTCGGGTTTCGTGTCTCCCCGCCGGTGCTACGTGCGAAACCGTTGTGAATCCTAAGGGCCCAAGCTGCCCCACTGAGGGCTCAAGATGGCCCGCAGACGGACAACATGCATGGAACATACGTGCGCGCGCACACATATAAGTACATATATATGTAACAGCAGCAATAGTGGATGCTGTGTTGCGCAATGCTATGCCATGCTATACTATGCTATGCGATGTTATGCTCTGCTATGCTATGCTATGTCATGCTACACAATGCTATGCTGGGCTAGGCTAGGCTATGCTCTATCATGGTATGTTATGCTATGCTATGCTGCGCTATGCGGTGCTGTGCTGTGCTAT